GGTGAGGCAAACAAAGATGAAAGCGGTAAGGCAAACAAAGATGAAAGCGGTCAGGCAAACAAAGATGAAAGCGGTAAGGCAAACAAAGATGAAAGCGGTCAGGCAAACAAAGATGAAAGCGGTAAGGCAAACAAAGATGAAAGCGGTAAGGCAAACAAAGATGAAAGCGGTAAGGCAAACAAAGATGAAAGCGGTAAGGCAAACAAAGATGAAAGCGGTCAGGCAAACAAAGATGAAAGCGGTCAGGCAAACAAAGATGAAAGCGGTAAGGCAAACAAAGATGAAAGCGGTCAGGCAAACAAAGATGAAAGCGGTAAGGCAAACAAAGATGAAAGCGGTCAGGCAAACAAAGATGAAAGCGGTAAGGCAAACAAAGATGAAAGCGGTAAGGCAAACAAAGATGAAAGCGGTAAGGCAAACAAAGATGAAAGCGGTCAGGCAAACAAAGATGAAAGCGGTAAGGCAAACAAAGATGAAAGCGGTCAGGCAAACAAAGATGAAAGCGGTAAGGCAAACAAAGATGAAAGCGGTAAGGCAAACAAAGATGAAAGCGGTAAGGCAAACAAAGATGAAAGCGGTAAGGCAAACAAAGATGAAAGCGGTAAGGCAAACAAAGATGAAAGCGGTAAGGCAAACAAAGATGAAAACGGTCAGGCAAACAAAGATGAAAGCGGTAAGGCAAACAAAGATGAAAGCGGTAAGGCAAACAAAGATGAAAGCGGTAAGGCAAACAAAGATGAAAGCGGTAAGGCAAACAAAGATGAAAGCGGTCAGGCAAACAAAGATGAAAGCGGTAAGGCAAACAAAGATGAAAGCGGTAAGGCAAACAAAGATGAAAGCGGTCAGGCAAACAAAGATGAAAGCGGTAAGGCAAACAAAGATGAAAGCGGTCAGGCAAACAAAGATGAAAGCGGTAAGGCAAACAAAGATGAAAGCGGTAAGGCAAACAAAGATGAAAGCGGTAAGGCAAACAAAGATGAAAGCGGTCAGGCAAACAAAGATGAAAGCGGTAAGGCAAACAAAGATGAAAGCGGTAAGGCAAACAAAGATGAAAGCGGTAAGGCAAACAAAGATGAAAGCGGTCAGGCAAACAAAGATGAAAGCGGTAAGGCAAACAAAGATGAAAGCGGTCAGGCAAACAAAGATGAAAGCGGTAAGGCAAACAAAGATGAAAGCGGTAAGGCAAACAAAGATGAAAGCGGTAAGGCAAACAAAGATGAAAGCGGTAAGGCAAACAAAGATGAAAACGGTCAGGCAAACAAAGATGAAAGCGGTAAGGCAAACAAAGATGAAAGCGGTAAGGCAAACAAAGATGAAAGCGGTAAGGCAAACAAAGATGAAAGCGGTAAGGCAAACAAAGATGAAAGCGGTCAGGCAAACAAAGATGAAAGCGGTAAGGCAAACAAAGATGAAAGCGGTAAGGCAAACAAAGATGAAAGCGGTCAGGCAAACAAAGATGAAAGCGGTAAGGCAAACAAAGATGAAAGCGGTCAGGCAAACAAAGATGAAAGCGGTAAGGCAAACAAAGATGAAAGCGGTAAGGCAAACAAAGATGAAAGCGGTAAGGCAAACAAAGATGAAAGCGGTAAGGCAAACAAAGATGAAAGCGGTAAGGCAAACAAAGATGAAAGCGGTAAGGCAAACAAAGATGAAAGCGGTCAGGCAAACAAAGATGAAAGCGGTAAGGCAAACAAAGATGAAAGCGGTCAGGCAAACAAAGATGAAAGCGGTAAGGCAAACAAAGATGAAAGCGGTAAGGCAAACAAAGATGAAAGCGGTAAGGCAAACAAAGATGAAAGCGGTAAGGCAAACAAAGATGAAAGCGGTAAGGCAAACAAAGATGAAAGCGGTCAGGCAAACAAAGATGAAAGCGGTAAGGCAAACAAAGATGAAAGCGGTCAGGCAAACAAAGATGAAAGCGGTAAGGCAAACAAAGATGAAAGCGGTAAGGCAAACAAAGATGAAAGCGGTAAGGCAAACAAAGATGAAAGCGGTAAGGCAAACAAAGATGAAAGCGGTAAGGCAAACAAAGATGAAAGCGGTAAGGCAAACAAAGATGAAAGCGGTCAGGCAAACAAAGATGAAAGCGGTAAGGCAAACAAAGATGAAAGCGGTCAGGCAAACAAAGATGAAAGCGGTAAGGCAAACAAAGATGAAAGCGGTAAGGCAAACAAAGATGAAAGCGGTAAGGCAAACAAAGATGAAAGCGGTCAGGCAAACAAAGATGAAAGCGGTAAGGCAAACAAAGATGAAAGCGGTCAGGCAAACAAAGATGAAAGCGGTAAGGCAAACAAAGATGAAAGCGGTAAGGCAAACAAAGATGAAAGCGGTAAGGCAAACAAAGATGAAAGCGGTAAGGCAAACAAAGATGAAAGCGGTAAGGCAAACAAAGATGAAAGCGGTAAGGCAAACAAAGATGAAAGCGGTAAGGCAAACAAAGATGAAAGCGGTAAGGCAAACAAAGATGAAAGCGGTCAGGCAAACAAAGATGAAAGCGGTAAGGCAAACAAAGATGAAAGCGGTCAGGCAAACAAAGATGAAAGCGGTAAGGCAAACAAAGATGAAAGCGGTAAGGCAAACAAAGATGAAAGCGGTAAGGCAAACAAAGATGAAAGCGGTCAGGCAAACAAAGATGAAAGCGGTAAGGCAAACAAAGATGAAAGCGGTAAGGCAAACAAAGATGAAAGCGGTCAGGCAAACAAAGATGAAAGCGGTAAGGCAAACAAAGATGAAAGCGGTAAGGCAAACAAAGATGAAAGCGGTAAGGCAAACAAAGATGAAAGCGGTAAGGCAAACAAAGATGAAAGCGGTCAGGCAAACAAAGATGAAAGCGGTAAGGCAAACAAAGATGAAAGCGGTAAGGCAAACAAAGATGAAAGCGGTAAGGCAAACAAAGATGAAAGCGGTAAGGCAAACAAAGATGAAAGCGGTAAGGCAAACAAAGATGAAAGCGGTCAGGCAAACAAAGATGAAAGCGGTAAGGCAAACAAAGATGAAAGCGGTAAGGCAAACAAAGATGAAAGCGGTAAGGCAAACAAAGATGAAAGCGGTCAGGCAAACAAAGATGAAAGCGGTAAGGCAAACAAAGATGAAAGCGGTCAGGCAAACAAAGATGAAAGCGGTCAGGCAAACAAAGATGAAAGCGGTCAGGCAAACAAAGATGAAAGCGGTAAGGCAAACAAAGATGAAAGCGGTAAGGCAAACAAAGATGAAAGCGGTCAGGCAAACAAAGATGAAAGCGGTAAGGCAAACAAAGATGAAAGCGGTCAGGCAAACAAAGATGAAAGCGGTCAGGCAAACAAAGATGAAAGCGGTAAGGCAAACAAAGATGAAAGCGGTAAGGCAAACAAAGATGAAAGCGGTCAGGCAAACAAAGATGAAAGCGGTAAGGCAAACAAAGATGAAAGCGGTCAGGCAAACAAAGATGAAAGCGGTAAGGCAAACAAAGATGAAAGCGGTAAGGCAAACAAAGATGAAAGCGGTAAGGCAAACAAAGATGAAAGCGGTCAGGCAAACAAAGATGAAAGCGGTAAGGCAAACAAAGATGAAAGCGGTAAGGCAAACAAAGATGAAAGCGGTAAGGCAAACAAAGATGAAAGCGGTCAGGCAAACAAAGATGAAAGCGGTAAGGCAAACAAAGATGAAAGCGGTCAGGCAAACAAAGATGAAAGCGGTAAGGCAAACAAAGATGAAAGCGGTAAGGCAAACAAAGATGAAAGCGGTAAGGCAAACAAAGATGAAAGCGGTCAGGCAAACAAAGATGAAAGCGGTAAGGCAAACAAAGATGAAAGCGGTCAGGCAAACAAGGATGAAAGCGGTAAGGCAAACAAAGATGAAAGCGGTAAGGCAAACAAAGATGAAAGCGGTAAGGCAAACAAAGATGAAAGCGGTCAGGCAAACAAAGATGAAAGCGGTAAGGCAAACAAAGATGAAAGCGGTAAGGCAAACAAAGATGAAAGCGGTAAGGCAAACAAAGATGAAAGCGGTAAGGCAAACAAAGATGAAAGCGGTAAGGCAAACAAAGATGAAAGCGGTCAGGCAAACAAAGATGAAAGCGGTAAGGCAAACAAAGATGAAAGCGGTCAGGCAAACAAAGATGAAAGCGGTCAGGCAAACAAAGATGAAAGCGGTCAGGCAAACAAAGATGAAAGCGGTAAGGCAAACAAAGATGAAAGCGGTAAGGCAAACAAAGATGAAAGCGGTCAGGCAAACAAAGATGAAAGCGGTAAGGCAAACAAAGATGAAAGCGGTCAGGCAAACAAAGATGAAAGCGGTAAGGCAAACAAAGATGAAAGCGGTAAGGCAAACAAAGATGAAAGCGGTAAGGCAAACAAAGATGAAAGCGGTCAGGCAAACAAAGATGAAAGCGGTAAGGCAAACAAAGATGAAAGCGGTAAGGCAAACAAAGATGAAAGCGGTCAGGCAAACAAAGATGAAAGCGGTAAGGCAAACAAAGATGAAAGCGGTAAGGCAAACAAAGATGAAAGCGGTAAGGCAAACAAAGATGAAAGCGGTAAGGCAAACAAAGATGAAAGCGGTCAGGCAAACAAAGATGAAAGCGGTAAGGCAAACAAAGATGAAAGCGGTAAGGCAAACAAAGATGAAAGCGGTAAGGCAAACAAAGATGAAAGCGGTAAGGCAAACAAAGATGAAAGCGGTAAGGCAAACAAAGATGAAAGCGGTCAGGCAAACAAAGATGAAAGCGGTAAGGCAAACAAAGATGAAAGCGGTAAGGCAAACAAAGATGAAAGCGGTAAGGCAAACAAAGATGAAAGCGGTCAGGCAAACAAAGATGAAAGCGGTCAGGCAAACAAAGATGAAAGCGGTCAGGCAAACAAAGATGAAAGCGGTAAGGCAAACAAAGATGAAAGCGGTAAGGCAAACAAAGAGGCGGGACTCACCAGCGAGAGTGGGGAGGACGACACAGTGAAAAGGAGAGAGAAGAGCAGACAGAGGGACAAGGGGGACAGAGCTCTCACCTGCTCCCACCTCTCACCTACTCACACCGCTCTCACCTGTTTGACGCGCAGCTGGGGCACGCAGGGGAAGGGCGAGAGGATGTCGCGGGCGCTCAGCTTGTTGCCGTGCAGCTTGTCTGCTACCTTGGCTGCGCATTGCCCATACTCGTTGCCGCCTGGGAGGGGAGGAACACAGGGTGACACAATGAGGTAACAGGGTTACCACATCAGCTTGTTGCCGTGCAGCTTGTCTGCTACCTTGGCTGCGCATTGCCCATACTCGTTGCCGCCTGGGAGGGGAGGAACACAGGGTGACACAATGAGGTAACAGGGTTACCACATCAGCTTGTTGCCGTGCAGCTTGTCTGCTACCTTGGCTGCGCATTGCCCATACTCGTTGCCGCCTGGGAGGGGAGGAACACAGGGTGACACAATGAGGCAACAGGGTTACCACATCAGCTTGTTGCCGTGCAGCTTGTCTGCTACCTTGGCTGCGCACTCCCTGTACTTGTTGCCGCCTGGGAGGGTGAGTAAAACAGGGGGTACCAGGTAACACTGTGACATGGTAACAGGGTTACCACATCAGCTTGTCCGCCACCTTGGATGCACACTGCCCATACTCGTTGCCGCCTAAAATGGGGGAAAATAATGGATAAGAAGGTAACTGGTGACCGACACGGTTCCACATAACATGACAGGGTAACATGGATACCACATCAGCTTGTGGGCCGATATGGAGTCGCATTTGCCCTGCTAATTGTCACCTGAGCGAGAGGGAAGCGAGGCGCATGAGACAAGACAACAACAACACCAGCACATTTCAACAGTAGATACACGATGAGACCATCCCCTTTATGTGGGCCCTAATCTACCAAGCTGGCAGCATGGCATGAAATACAACGCACTGCAGTGCAATGTGGAGCATTTCTGGGTGTGAGGGAGTAATCTCGAGCGAGGAAGTGCAGGAGGGCAAGGACGGACAGACCCACCCCAAGAGAAAGCAGTCCCCTTCTCGTTCACGGCTAGACAGTGCCATCCTCCAATGGCTGCCTGCAACGTCAGCAGTCCAAAAGAAGGAATGAGCAGCAGAGATTGGCATTCATAACAGCTAAAGCATGACAGCAGGTAACAATGACAGCTAACAGCTAAATCATCTGAGACAGCGCACATACATGGTGAGTCAGCTGACCAGCAAGCCAAGTCAGCTCACCTGCAAGCTGAGTCAGCTCACCTGCAAGCTGAGTCAGCTCACCTGCAAGCTGAGTCAGCTCACCTGCACGATCTTCTCGTCTTTAAGCGACTCCACCTGCACGTGGATGGAACGGGAGAAAGGAAGCGTTTAGCACACAAGGCACGGGCACCTGACCTGGCACCTGACCTGGCAGCTGACCTGGCAGCTGACCTGGCAGCTGACCTGGCAGGGGACGGCTTCTCGCGGGGCGGCCGGGGCGGGTGGATGGCCCAACGTGCTGCGCTGATTCCACCCCCACAGGAACACCTGGTGGTGGGGGTCGGTAATTGGGGAGGAGAGGGGGGTGTTGAATGTTTTCGAAAGGGCTCGTTCCACCCCTGCACGGACACTTGGGAATGCGAGGGAGGGGGACGGAGGAGGGGGGAAGAGAAAATGTTCAAGAAGTGCTGGTTTCGCTTCAAGAAAATGTTCAACAAGTGCTGGTTTCGCTTCAAGAAAATGTTCAACAAGTGCTGGTTTCGCTTCAAGAAAATGTTCAACAAGTGCTGGTTTCGCTTCTTCCCAACACGAATACCTGGTGGGTAGCGGACGCTGGGAAGGAGAGGGGCGGTGGGGAGAGGAGGGGAATAGGAGGAAGGGTGTGAGTAGTGTAGTGCTGGTTCCATCCCCACAAACACCTGGAGAGTGAGTGGGGCTCGTAAGGTCCTTAAGGGCGAGGAGGGGGTTTTGTGTGGGTGGCTGCAAGAAGTGTAGGTGCCGTGCCAACCCCACACGGACACCTGGCGGATGGGGAGGGGAGGGGTGATATCGCCGCACCGGTGACATTCCTCAGTGAACACGCCGGATGGACCAAGGCGAGGATGGACCAAGGCGAGGATGGAAAGAGGAGGCTTGATGCGTGCTGGTTCGAGAGCAGCACAGGCATTGGTGCTGGTTCGAGAGCAGCACAGGCATTGGTGCTGGTTCGAGAGCAGCACAGGCATTGGTGCTGGTTCGAGAGCAGCACAGGCATTGGTGCTGGTTCGAGAGCAGCACAGGCATTGGTGCTGGTTCGAGAGCAGCACAGGCATTGGTGCTGGTTCGAGAGCAGCACAGGCATTGGTGCTGGTTCGAGAGCAGCACAGGCATTGGTGCTGGTTCGAGAGCAGCACAGGCATTGGTGCTGGTTCGAGAGCAGCACAGGCATTGGTGCTGGTTCGAGAGCAGCACAGGCATTGGTGCTGGTTCGAGAGCAGCACAGGCATTGGTGCTGGTTCGAGAGCAGCACAGGCATTGGTGCTGGTTCGAGAGCAGCACAGGCATTGGTGCTGGTTCGAGAGCAGCACAGGCATTGGTGCTGGTTCGAGAGCAGCACAGGCATTGGTGCTGGTTCGAGAGCAGCACAGGCATTGGTGCTGGTTCGAGAGCAGCACAGGCATTGGTGCTGTGCAGACGGCACATGGGGTAAGGAAGAGGGGAAGAACGTTTTGGACCTTGGGGAATGCAAGAGATAGGTGCAAAGGAAACACGTTTCGGGGAACCCATACTGTTCATCTCACCCGGCCGTCCTGTGTGAGGGCGAGGGAGTTCCTGCTGCCGCCCACCAGCTGCACCACGTCCGCCCCTGCCAGCGCCGGCACGAGCTGCAGCGCTGCTGAGTGCGCCAGTGCGCCCGTGCCCAGCTGCCCATCCTCGTTCGCTCCCCTGCAAGGGGGACATGTATGGAGGAAAGGGGCAGGTTGAATTGGTGGGTGGGGGCCAGGGAACAGTACCTTCTCCCTGCCTTGTGGTGCTCCTCAGTGCGCCAGTGCGCCCGTGCCCAGCTGCCCATCCTCGTTAGCTCCCCTAGGGAGGGAGGGAGGGAGGGAGGGAGGGAGGGAGGGAGGGAGGGAGGGAGGGAGGGAGGGGGATGGTGGTGGGGGTGGGGGTTTGGAATATCAGTTCTCCCTGCCTTGTGCTGCTGCTGAGTGCTCCAGTGCACCCGTGCGCAGCTGTCCCTCCTCGTTCGCTCCCCTTGGGGAGGTGGAGAGAGGGCGGGTGTTGGATGCATGGAGAGCAGTGTGGAGGGGCGGGGGGGTACAATGGCGCTTCTCCCGGCCTCGTGGTGCTGCTGGGTGCGCCAGCGCGGCCGTGCGCACCCGTGACCCGCCCATCTTCATTCAGTTCACACCCCCGGGAAGGGGAGGGGAATGCGTGGAGGGTGAGAAAGGGCAAGTTGGGCTGATGTGGGTGGTTGGAAGGGATGAAACGCGCTTTCACAGGAGTGTGGAGGGGTTTAGTTTAGTCGTCCCGTCCTGGTTGACGCCCCTGGGGGCATGGCATGCGCGGAGGGGGATGGGGCGGGGTTGAATTGATAGGGGCTGGTGGAGTGAAGGGCGCTTCTCCACTTCAGCCTGATGGCGCTGCACGGTGCATCAGTGCTGCCCGCTGTTATGGCTGTCCCTCCCAGGGGAGAGGACTGATGAGGCGCCTGAAAAGCTGTCCCAGGGGAGAGGCATGAAGGCACAGCGAGGCAGGCCACAGAGGAGATGCGCAGGACTGTGGCCAGCGAGGAGATGCCTTCCCGTGGCCAGCGAGGAGATGCCTTCCCGTGGCCAGCGAGGAGATGCCTTCCCGTGGGCAGCGAGGAGATGCCTTCCCGTGGGCAGCGAGGAGATGCCTTCCCGTGGGCAGCGAGGAGATGCCTTCCCGTGGGCAGCGAGGAGATGCCTTCCCGTGGGCAGCGAGGAGATGCCTTTCCGTGGCCAGCGAGGAGATGCCTTCCCGTGGGCAGCGAGGAGATGCCTTCCCGTGGCCAGCGAGGAGATGCCTTCCCGTGGCCAGCGAGGAGATGCCTTCCCGTGGCCAGCGAGGAGATGCCTTCCCGTGGGCAGCGAGGAGATGCCTTCCCGTGGGCAGCGAGGAGATGCCTTCCCGTGGCCAGCGAGGAGATGCCTTCCCGTGGGCAGCGAGGAGATGCCTTCCCGTGGGCAGCGAGGAGATGCCTTCCCGTGGGCAGCGAGGAGATGCCTTCCCGTGGGCAGCGAGGAGATGCCTTTCCGTGGCCAGCGAGGAGATGCCTTCCCGTGGCCAGCGAGGAGATGCCTTCCCGTGGCCAGCGAGGAGATGCCTTCCCGTGGCCAGCGAGGAGAGTGGCCAGCGAGGAGATGCCTTCCCGTGGGCAGCGAGGAGATGCCTTCCCGTGGGCAGCGAGGAGATGCCTTCCCGTGGGCAGCGAGGAGATGCCTTCCCGTGGCCAGCGAGGAGATGCCTTCCCGTGGGCAGCGAGGAGATGCCTTCCCGTGGCCAGCGAGGAGATGCCTTCCCGTGGGCAGCGAGGAGATGCCTTCCCGTGGCCAGCGAGGAGATGCCTTCCCGGCTGCGAGTGCGCAGGGAGGCTGTGCCATGTGGAGTGGGGATGTGAGGATCGGGGGAGAGGGGGAGGTGGGGAGGTGGGGATTGGGGGAAGGGGGAGGGTGGTGTGGTGTGGTGTGGTGTGGTGTGTTGTGGTGTGTCTCCCAGCCCAGCAGAGAGAGAGGCATGGCGACACAGCACAGTGGGGCAGGCCGGCAGGGGAGATGCGCATCTTGCTGTGCCCAACTGCCCGCCCGCCTGCTCCGTGCGCAGGGAGGCTGCTCAGTGCGCAGGGAGGCTGCTCAGTGCGCAGGGAGGCTGCTCAGTGCGCAGGGAGGCTGCGCCGTGTGGAGGGGGGAGGTGAGGATGGGGGGAGTGGGGGAGGTGAGGAGCGGGGGAGGAGGGGAACGGGGGAGGAGGGGAACGGGGGAGGAGGGGAACGGGGGAGGAGGGGAACGGGGGAGGAGGGGAACGAGGGAGGAGGGGAACGGGGGAGGAGGGGAACGGGGGAGGTGGCGAAGACAGAAGGGCATTCCGCCGCCGAGGTGCTTCAAACGAGCTGGCCCAATTGGCCCTCGCACGAGAAAGGGGTTGAGTGGGGTTTCAGGCGGAGGGACGGGGTTTAAGTGGGGTCGGAGGTGGGGGAAGAGGGGGAATGGAGAAGGGGGTTTGTTGGGGTGGGGGTGCGGCGTGGAGAGGGGGTAGCGGAGAAGAGGTAGGGGAGAGGCGGGGGAAAAGTGATGGCGAGAGTTGTTGGAGGGAGCGTGTTGTTGGGCTCGTGGGCACTTGTGATGGCGACGGTTGTTCCGGTCTCAAAAGCACGGGGACGTCCAGTGCTCCCCCGCTGCCACCTCGCACAGCGCGTGCGACGAATGCGGGCGCAAACACTGCGGCATCGCTGCCTCGCCCCCGGCAGCCTGCGGAACCGCATTTCCCGGCGAAGGGACGACCCCCGCGCGAGAAAAACCACCCTGCAGGCAGCGCCGGGCAGGAGCGGCTGGGTGACATTCGAGTCACTCAAAACAGAAGTCGCCTCGGCTGCTCGGAGGAACTGCGGGGCGAGAAGCGTGGGGGGAAGCGGCAGAGACGAGCTTGCGCCGCCGCTGCCTTTGCGGCCTCGCGGAATTACGCTCGACGCAGCATTCGCCGCAATTGACGCGATGGGTTTAACAGTAACTGCTTGCTACACGCCAAGCAGCTACATCCCGGAGCGAGCCGTACGCGTTACAGCGCATGGTTTACACGCAAACCTCACCATGAGTATATAAGTTTTCGGCAACCTTCAGAAGCAGTCGCGCGGTCATGCGCCATTCCAGTGGGCTAGCGGGGGAGGGTCAAACGTACGATAGTTGCGATGGTGCGTGGCAAAGGATGCATTCGTAGGCTCAGATAGATGTTGGAAAGTTGGGGGGGGGTGTGTGTGGATCACTATTTTATTAGACCTGGGTTGTAACACGTTGTTACTAGTGCAATTGAGAAAGCCAGCTAAAATTGCACTATCGAATTAAACAATACAATGAGCTAAGGCACATTGGCTGCGTTGCGTTCTGTTGGCGCATTAGTAATGCGCCAACAACGGACAAGTAATGCGCTCAGAGGCTCCGGCGCAGGAGTGCACCCCCTTAAAATTACCACGAAGGGATGTCTCGGGCGAGACGTATCTGCGAGGCAAGCTTTAGGATATTTACGTGGGGGCAGATGTCAGATGTGGTAGTCTTAGTGATGTGTTTTAGGGGGTACAACTGATAGGGTTAGGTTTATGTACCCCAACCAACCTTAGTCAAACCAACACTTTCATTCTTGACATGGTATCACATAGGTTAGGATCCAGTGGGATCCCGCTAGAGCCTCTCGCACCCTTTGCACGTAGTCGACTGTTGCCGCTGCGCCTGTTTCGTCCCGTAGCGCCCTTAGCACGTGCCCGTTCCGTTACGAAGCGCCCGTAGCGCTCGCACTCCCCGTCGCGTCACGTCCCCAGCCCGTCGCATCTTCTGCCCGTCCCGTCCCCTGCTCGTCCCGTCCTCTGCCCGTCCCGTCCCCTTCCCTGTCCCGTCCCCTGCTCGTCGCGTCCTCTGCCCGTCGTGTCCCCAGCCCGTCGCGTCCCCTGCCTGTCGCGTCGCGCTGCCAGTCTCGTCCCTAGCCCGTCGCGTCCCCTGCCCGTCGCATCGCGCTGCCAGTCCCGTCCCCTGCCCGTCGCGTCGCGCTGCCGTCCCGTCCCCTGCCCGTCGCATCCCATGCCCGTCGCGTCGCGCTGTTGTCCCGTCCCCCGTCCATCGCGCCCCCGCTGCGCCCTACGCGTCCGTGGCACCCTGTGCGCCCTGCCCGTCCGTCGCGCCCCTGCTGCGCCCTGCCCATCCGTCTCGCCCCGTGCGCTCTGCCCGTCCGTCGCGCCCCGTGCGCCCTGCCCGTTCGCCGCGCCCCGTGCGCTCTGCCCGTCTGCGCCTGTTGCGCCCGTCCCTGCCAGTTGCGTCCTGTCCCGTCGCGCCGCACTGTCTGTCACGCTCTACGCAGGCCTTTCAGGCGTTTAGGGTTTCGGCAACAGCAGTTCCCACCCCTTCGCTACCTCTATGGCGACCCCCAGGGTTCTGCGCTTTGACGCCGAGGGTAGGCCGCTTGAGTTCTCCGTCTGGCTCCTGCGTGCGCGCCGCCTTTTAGAGAGTAAGGTTCAGGCGGATGAGTCTCTGTGGGCGCACGCTTCTGGCGACCTTTCTAAGTCCGGCGATCCTGCACCCTTAGGCACTGACCCTAGCGATGCAGCTAGAGATCGTTATGCCCGCCAACGTGCTGACCTCACAGCGTGGAAGTCGCGTGACGCTGCGGCTTGCATCGCCCTCAGCAGCCTCCTCCCTGAGTCTGAGGAGGCCCGCTTCACTCAGGTTCGCTCGGCTAGTGAGTTCCTGACTGCGATCAAGGCCCGCTATGCTACTCCCACCTCTGTCTCTCTTGGTCGCATGTTCCTCCCGTTCCTGTTTCCTGACCTCGCCTCGTTTGAGCGCTCTGCTGACTCGATCGCTCACTTGCGCTCGCTCTATTCCAGCTACCGCGCTGCCAGCACTGACAAACAGCTTGCACTGCTCCCTCCCCCTATGGCGATTACTATATATTTCATCGCCACTAGCCTCCCTGACCACCTTGCCTCGGTTCGTGACGCACTTCTTCTGAAGCACCCTAGCAAGCTCACTAGCGAGGTCCTTGAGTCTGCCCTCAAGGACGTCGAGAGCAACCTCCGCTCAGCTGCCTCCGCCTCTGGTGCTGTGCCCCCTCCACTGTTTCACGGGTGCACTGTCCCTCAGCGGCGGGAGTGCAGGGTCTGGAGGAGCGCCTTATGCAGCGGCTGGTGACTCCCCTGCTTCAGCTGGTGGAGGTGACGCCCGGGTTTGTCATCCACCTACTGGTCTGCCAGCTGCAGGGGGCGGAGCAGCGGCGTGGTACCTGACTCAGCGACAGCAGCAGCACCAGCAGCGCCTCCCCTCGCAGCAGCCACAGCAGTAGCAGCGGCAGCAGCAGGCTCCGGGGCAGGGGTCTGGACCGCATCAGCTGTTGCGTGGTGTCGTCTACCCTCCCTGCACCTATCTCGTTCAGACAGATACTCGCCGAGGCCTCCCTTGTGGCCGCACCCACCCACTAGGTCAGTGCTTTGCTCAGCTCACTGACACACTTCTTGCGGCCTACGGGGTTGACGGCCCTGCCCCTGACTGGCTTCCCCTTGTTCAGCGATACGGCCCCACTCTGTGGGGCATGTCGACTTCTCAGTTGCTTGATCTCTTAGGAACTCCTCATGCTATGTATGCTGTTGTTGACTCTAGTGCTTCTTACTCGGTTTACTCGAGTGTTGTTAGCTTGTGTGCTTGTGTTATTGAAGTGCCTGTTGCTAGCGTAGGTACTTGTGTAGACACTAGTCCAGTAGCTGCTTCGGAGGACACTTCGCTGTCGTTCACTCTGGATTCCAGAGCTTCGCACTGTTTCTTCCGCACGACTCTTACTCCGCTTCCTGCGCCGGTCTCTGTAGCACTGGCTGATCCCACTTCGGGACCAGTCACTGCTTGCTACAATACTACGCTTCCAACAGTTCCCTCGAGTTTCCTGACGGGCTTCCACGTCTCCTCGTTCTCCAGGAACTTGGTGGGTGTGAGGCCGCTCGTAAGTAGTCACGTGGGTGTGTGGATTGAGTCTTCTGGCGAGACTGCGGTTTGTGTTGACGGGGACACGTATGCGCCTCTGACCACCTTTACCGCTGAGCTGGGCTCTGGTCTCTACACACTTCACATTGGCCCTCGGCAGCAGCAGCAGCAGCAGCAGCAGCAACAGCAGCAGCAGCAGCGGAAGCAGAAGCAGCAGCAGCGGCAGCGGCAGCGGCAGCAGCAGCAGCAGCAGCAGCACCAGCAGCAGCCGCCGCAGCAGCAGCAGTAGCTACTGCCCCCCGTCAGGTCCCCCCGTCTCACCAGGTTGCCGCTTCTCACCAGGTAGTTGTGTCTGGTCAGGTTCTCGTGTCTGGTCCAGTTGCTGCGTCTTGCTCCTGCCGGTCACTTGCCCACCCCACCGTTCTATGGCACCACCGGATGGGGCACCCGTCCATTCCTTGCCTGCGTGCTATGTCTAGTCAGCGTCTTGTCTTAGGCCTCCCGCGAGTCTTGTCGTTGCTGCCGCCTTCGCTTGCACCACCTTGCGGTCCCTGCGTCGAGGGTCGGCAGCGCGCCACCCCTCACTCCTCCTCCCTTCGTCCGGCCACCGAGCCCTTCAAGACTCTCCACTTGGACGTCTGGGGCCCCGCCCCTCGCCCTGGCCCTGAGCGAGAGAGTTTATTTCTGGTGATCGTTGACGACTACTCTCGCTACACCACAGTGTTCCCCCTAACAAAGACGTCTGAGGTGACTTCTACGCTGATTCGATGGTTACTTACCACTGCGGACACTTGTGGTCGTCGTGTCAGCTGTCTTCACTCCGACCGTGGGGGTGAGTTTTGCTCTGGCATTCTCGCTGGATTCTGTTGCGAGCAGGGCATCCGTCAGTCCTGGACGCTTCCACAGTCCCCACAGCAGAATGGGGTTGCTGAGCGCCGCATAGGCTTGGTCATGGAGATTGCACGCACCTCCATGATCCATGCCCGTGCGCCCCATTTTCTATGGCCCTACGCGGTTTGGTGTGCCGCTCACCAGCTCAACCTCTGGCCACGTGTCTCTCGGCCAGAGGCTTCACCGACCAGTCTTTGGACCGGGTCCTTGTCACAATGTAAAATTGATTAAAACAGAAAGTACAAACAAGATATATGCAAAACCTAACCCTAGTGCAAGTACAAAATAACACAAGGGAGAACGCCTAGACTAGAACTATACAAGCTATAGAAATATAGTTTGACATTCCCCAGGTGCTGCGTCGCGTTTTCGTGTCTGGGGCTGCTTGGCGCTTGTTTGCGACACCTCCGCGGATAAGCTCTCCCCTCGCGCCCTTCCCTGTGTCTTCCTTGGTTTCCCCGTAGATTCCTCTGACTTCACCTTTTACCACCCTCCCCTTCACTGGTTCTTTGACTCCCGCG